ACGAGGGTCTGTTTTCCTGGAGGCGGCAGGTTGTAAAAACCTGTTACCATGGATTTGTGTGAACCTGAGCTGCAGGGTCTGCAGGAGCAGAGGGCCAAGAGACCTGCAAGACCTTCCCACACCCGCCTTTTCTCTCAGTCCTGCCCATCGGTGTGGGAGGTGGGCTCTGTACTTTGAAAGGACACAGTCCAGCTCGTGTCCAAATCTTGCACAGGTGTTGCCTGGTGTGGGGACCAGATGTCAGGTCCCCGTGTTCCCTGGTTCTGGTTCCCAGTACTGAAGACGGTTACTGGTACCGAGTCGATGGAGGAAATTAGTAGACCAAGCAGATGTAAGCAAAGCGCCAAAGTTTTCTAAAGCACAGAACATTCCAGAGAAGGAACAGGTCTACTCCCGCGAGTGGAGGAGACCCCGAGTTCAACAAGATTTTCCTTTTTATGCCGATTCCCTAATTTTATGTTGAGTGAGGGGCAGAATATTCATGGTTTTTCTTGAAAAGAGGTGGAGAATTCCTGGAATGGGGGCAAATCCTCTCCATTTTTAACCGTGTAATGTGAGTTCCAGGGCTTGCCGTGGTATTTGTCAACTGTCATGGTTCTGGTGCGTGTGATTTTTACTGTGTTAATGGGGCAGGTCACTTGAGGATACTGTCCCTTGGGAACAGAAATTTAAGCTGTTAAACCAGTCACGGCAAGCAATTTGGGCTAACTGTAATATAATCCAGGACACAGGAAGCACTGAGTGACAGGGAGCCCATTTATGGCCAGACGAGGAAGAATGGTTTACGAGGTCTGTGAAACCCACCTTAAAAATAGGCAAGTCTCTTGGTTAATATGTGACACACTCATTATAGGGACAGTTTGGCACCAAGACAGCACTGCTTTTCCATATAGAAATGAATTTATGGTCATGATTGCAATAATATCATAAAAATAATATTGATTCCTGTGAGGTTAAGTGCTTACCAGCTGTGTTGCCTTAAAATTTTCTACAAAAAAATCTATCTCCTGTAGAGGTAACTCAGTGATTAAGAAGGCCCCAGAGATTTCAAAGAAAAAGAATTAAGATTTAGATTCTAGAGAACATGCTTTTACTGACTGAGATATTTTTAGGGGTGAGTTGTCACCTTTAAAATATTCTATAAATGTTTATTCAACTTAAGTTAAATTGTCTATGGCACCGACAACCCCTTACAATTCAGATGAGTGGATTTTGGGAGTATGGGAAAGAGTGCAATTGAATTTTACAGGTTTACCTGGTAAGGAAGCGTCCGGTTCACAACGACTCAGATGTAGGCACAGAACGATCTGCACCAACAGGGTCTGTTAGGACACTTTTCCATCATGAGTAGGGTTTCTCCGAGGAATACACAGCTGTTCATCAGAGTACTATGATAAGGAAAGTAGGAGTCACGTCTTTGATAATTGGCACATTTGTCCAAAAGATGACTATAAATCTGAAGCTATGTGCTTTATTTGTGTGGGTGTAAGTCTTCCTCACCTCTGAAGATGAATCTCCTAAAACTAATTTTTATACAGTATGAGTGACAAGCCTTTGCTGAGAAAGAGGAAATTATTTAGGATGATTCAAAGTAGAAAAAAGAAGAAAAAGGAAGTATCTACTGGTTCCTTATAACAGCAACTGAGTCGTAAATAAGAGCTGACCATGGGGAAGTCAGACGCCCAGAGGGCAAGAGAATAAATGGAGACTCGATATAAGGACAATTATTTTTGACCAACAAAGGCTTTGAAAACATACACCATGAGAACTCTGCAAATTAAAAAAAAAGCTGATGTCAATAGGGCAGCCTAATTCATGAGTTAACTAACATTTTAAACACCTGCTCTGTGCACCATGCAAGGCTCTTTTTTTTTTTTTTTTTTTTGAGACAGAGTCTCACTCTGTTGCCCGGGCTAGAGTGCCAATGGCATCATCCTAGCTCACAGCAACCTCAAACTCCTGGGCTCAAGCGATCCTCCTGCCTCAGCCTCCCAAGTAGCTGGGACTACAGACATGTGCCACCATGCCCGGCTAATTTTTTCTATATATTTTTAGTTGTCCAATTAATTTCTTTCTATTTTTAGTAGAGACGGGGTCTCGCTCTTGCTCAGGCTGGTTTCGAACTCCTGAGCTCAAACGATCCGCCCGCCTCGGCCTCCCAGAGTGCCAGGATTACAGGCAGCAAGGCTCCCCTAATAGGAATGCAACAGAGAAATGAGAGACACAGTCCTGCTCCTGTGTGGCTTGCAGGTTATACAGGTAGGGTTCAAGAAAGCAAACGCCTACAGAATGTGACAACTGTCATGGTGCAACACGAGAGGTGAGACAGTGCAACGGGAGGGACCTGGTTTGCGTAGAGTGGTTACAGAAGTGCAGCCTCTGGGCCAGCAGCAGTCAGGGTGGTGGGAAAAGCAGACAAACACATCCATTACATCCTGCAGTCCCTGGGCAGTAAACTCGAGGTCCTGCTGCTTCCCTGGGGACCATGGGGTGGAGGTGGAGGCAGGAAGTACGAGAGCTCTACTCTGTTTCCTCAGAGACAGGTAAGTGCTTTAAGAGCCTGAATGTCAGGAGTGGTTAACTGAATGTGGCCTGATGCTTTATGGGGATGCGAATTTGTATTTTGGTGTTGGTGCTATAGAATAACCAGGAAGAGTGAGGAGCAAGCCCTCAAGTAGTAACAACCAGGGCTTTGAGTCAGGGAGATCAAGGGCTTCCGTTTCCCCAGGGCGAGTCAGAAAGGCTTTTGTTGTAAATTACCTACGGGGCTGGGCTCCTGCTCCACACGGTCCCAAGGGCTCTCCAGCAGGCAGCTGGACTTCGCTGGAAACTTGGGGCTCCCAGAGCCCAAGGTGGAAGCTCACAGTCCCCTAAAGGGGGGACCAGAACTGACATGGCATCGGTTCTGCCACACCCTGTGGATCACAGCAGACGGGGGCTACCCAGACTCAAGGGGAGGGGACATTCTGCCCACTTCCCAACCTGGGGGAGTATCGAAGAATCTTTAATTCTTCGCAGTGCTCTTGGGAAGACCGGACCCCAGGCCTTGGGGCTTGCAGACTTGGCAAGGTTCTCTGGGCTCAAGATTGACACAATCGGCATGGCTGCTGACCTCCTGGGCCTTTAATTCAAAATACTGTTTATATCAAGGAGTCATATTTTGGGGTGAAATCTCCTGAGCTCCTTCACCCTCAACTAAACGAATAAAACATGCGTGAACAAAAAAAATACAACCCCCCCATTTCCTTTGGGCTAGAATGGGGTGCCAGAGAAAACTGTGCAAACAAGTGTCATTCTCTAGCGCGTGCTCAGGTGGGAAGAGGTGGATCAAAGTAAAGGTAAAATAAACAGGTAATATGTCTATTTTCATAGATACAAAGATGCCACCAGGCTATGAGTATGGATCCAAAGACAATTAAACCTGTCCAGGAAGAGGAATGGGGCGGGCCTCCGGTTCATGGAAAGCTATGCAAGGGGAGGCTCCAGGAAGGCAACTATGGCAACAAATTGAGAAGACTGGAGAGGATGCTCGAGCCTGAGCTGCGTCTGACTCAGGGCAGGAGTGTACAGAATCTACTGCTTCGCTGTGTTGACTTTAGCAAGTTGACACTGGTGGTGTGGTGTGGTGGTCGTGGTTGAGGATGGCAGAAGCTTAGGTCCCTAAAACTGAGATGGTCAGATTCAGAACACAGAACCAAGGGAGGTTTGAAAGGAATTTGGGCCAGGTGGGTGCGAGGACCATGAGAGACAGTAAGAACTGAAAATTAGTCCTAGCTTTAGCATAACTGCAAGTACAGTGAAAGAGACAACTGGAGGTGACGCTAGTGTCAGGAGAGGGTACCCTGACACCTCACAGTGCAATTTGAAAAAGATAAGTCGGTAGACAAAGGACACCAGCTCCTCCAGCGAGCTGCCTCTGCTGGGCACGGACGTGTCCCAGGCATCTGGGATTGGGATGAAGAGTGGGTGGTCCATGAAGATAGCTGCATGAAGGGATGAATGCAGCCAGAGAGGGCTCTTAACTCAGTGGCATGTCAAAATCCCTTGCAGAGATTTTAAGAAACGCAAGTGCCTGGGCCTTGCCCCGGGAGATGCTGAGTCAGAACGTCAGAGATGAGGCCTTATTTTTAAGAAAAAACAAATAGGAATGGAGTGAAACCAAAATATTTCACCCCAAAATAGTCTGACATATTTTACGATGGCTGTTGAGAAGGCCTGCAAACAGAGTGGCTCAGCAAAGCTGTCTTGCGGGGCATTGATGCAGCTGGGCTTTCCCTGGAAGGCCTTCCCTTGTCCAGATGCAGCAGAGATGACCTGAGACCTGACACCTTTATGCCCACCGTCTACTCTCTCTGAGGGCTGCTGCCTGTGAGGTTCCGTCCACGTACGAGACCACCTTTGCCACCGGGCCTGCTCTCCTCTCCCTCCCATCCCCTGTCCGGCCCCACAACCTGAGTCACTGCCGCAGCCTGTTTCTGGCCGTGCTCTGAGCCCTTGCGATTTTGGTAACCTCAGGATGGTATACGAGCTTCTGTGTCCCTTGTGGGGTGGGGTAGTCACTCTGCGGTTACCCCTGCGCACGTGAATAAATCTGATGCCCTTCCTCCTGATAATCCGCCTTCTGTCAGTTGATTTTCAGTGAACCTTCCGAGGGCAAAGGGCAAGTTTTCCCTCGGCCCCCACAGAGCAAACACACCAGAGAACTTCCGCAATTTCAATACGTGGCCAGGGTTTTGACTTTGCGTTAGTTTTAGTAAGCTCATTTTTTCTTTTCTGGGATCCTTAGAACTTGTACTTTAAAAAAAATCCACATTTAATTTTATTATAATTTTGCTTCCCTGAAGTGCTCTCAGAGGGTTTTAGTCTATCTCAGCTGTGCTGAAGGAGAAACAGGGCCAGGCAGGTGTGTCGACACTGTTCCAGGTGTGAGGACAGCAGGACTCGAGTGAGATGCAGAAACCGGCAGGGATGTATGGCCAATGCTTGGCCTCTGCCCTTTTCCTCCTGGGAGGGCGTTTTAGAGGGCATTCCCCAGGGACAAAGCCTCTCTCCTTGACCCGGCTCCAGGCTCCTCTCAGCTCTTTTCTCAACAAAGTTCTGTCGTTGGATGTGCCCCCAAGAGCCCAGTTTTGGCAAGAATCCCCCACCCTGATGTCTGATCACCCTCATACCTGGCTGGGTTTCTCATCCTCCACCCTTCCCCAGGGGATGCCTGATCACCCCGACCTGCCTCCACCAAGAATTCTGTGAGGTCCCGTGAGGTCGCCCTGGCATCCCAGTCTAGCCCCTCCTGCCAGCCTCTTCCTCTCAGTAACTTTCCATCCACTGACCCTGCCCTGCTCCTTGGCCGTAAACCTCCTTTGCCCATGCTGGAGTCGAAACTGAGCCCGGTTGTAATACTGAGGTCTCTTTCCCTTCTTGCAGTAGTCTCTGAATAGAATCTGTTTTTACCTTTTAACTCTGTGGTCCCCGACCCCCAGCCACAGACTGGTACCAGTGCGTGGCCTGTTAGGAACCAGGCTGCACAGCAGGGGGTGAGCGGTGGGCGGGTGAGTAAAGCTTCATCTGTATTTACAGCTGCTCTCCATCGCTGGCATCACTGCCTGAGCTCTGCCTCCCGCCCCCTCCCGTCCCCTCCCGTCCCTGGAAAAACTGTCTTCCATGAAACTGGTCCCTGGTGCCGGATGGATGGATTTCTGAATACAAAGGGAAACCATCAAAGCTCTTTTTTTTTGTCTGTCTGGGCCATGAATTTGATTTTTCTGAACATTTCCAGTAAAATGGCAGGGTATTTTGGACTGACACCAGAACTAAATTTTCACATGCAAGGCTTCAGTAGAGGACAGAACTTGTTGGTGAGTTCATTTTAAAAAATTTCCTCTCTAGTTCAGTATTTTCCTCAATATGTTTTCTCATTAGCATAGGGGTTATGTTTTTGATTCACAATTAATATAAACTTATTCATACATAGAGGAAGGGCCCAGAAAGGTTAAGAGAACAAGTGGTTTAAACGCTGTGACCTTTGCTTTGTACATAATGTAGGAAGTTGGAAATATTTCCCATTGATGCCCGTGACTGTTTGTCTCAGGTTCAATAGGAGAAGACGGTTTTGTTTGGGGCAGGCCCATCAGTTGTCAGGTGTCAGACATTTCTCCCCTACCCCACCCTGCATTAAAATATTCACTCTTACCAAGCTTGCTTGTCTAAATATATTTCAATACCATTAACTGCAACCTCCCTCTCTGAAAAATATTGCTGACTCACAGTGATCAGAGGATTCTGTTGGCATGTTGCAGCTGCTGAAAACACAAACCCAGCTTGCTGTCCTTGCTCTGAGTTGTACAGGATCTGTGGAAAGAGGCTTATGAAATGGGGCTGTTAATTTTTAACTCATTTTATCTCTTGACGCTTTTGTTTTATGTTTCTGATGTTTTGCAATGCAAACATCTGGAAGCAAACGTGCAAATAAAAACCACCACTTTTCAGGGACGACTGTGTAGATAACAACTTCCTCAGCCTGGTGAGCAGCAGATTTTTCCTGTTGCACGTCAATAGTTTCTGGAGATCTGAGGGAAAGTGAACTCCACGAACCTGACTTAGTGAAAGGGCAGAGGGTCCTCTGAGGTGCAGGGGAGGAAAGTCTTTTTCTTTCTACCTAACTTAGGTCATTGACTGGGCCCTATAAACTACATAAAAGACAGATTGTCAAGAGAAAAACAAACAGAAGTTTATTAACACGTGCATTCCCAAGGGAGCACTCAGAGATGAATAACCCAAAGGGTGTTTAAAACCTGGGGGTCTAGATGCCTAACTTAGTAAGGGAAAGGGGTGGGGGATAGAAAGCACTTATGAAAAAACAAATGAACTTTTTAGAAGTGCGCAGGGACCAAGGCTGTTGTTCTAAAGGTTCAGTGAAAAATCACGGACCTGAGGCAGATCTTCCACATCCCACTCCACAGGCAGCGGCTTCTGGTAGAAGTAGTGTGAAGGCTCCATGTTAATATTCATCCAAAAATGGGTAATTAGGGTGGTCAGAGAAACTGAAAGGGAAAGAATAGTGCATAGTATGGTTGCAACGGCTCCATTAGCAGGGTGGTAGGAAAGAGATTTCTGGGAAGCCGCTACTAGGGCAGAAGCTACAAAACTTATTTCCTGACTGGTTGTGACATAGTGTTTGCCTTTCTTACTTTCATGACCACAACTTTATGCTACGTGTTCCTAAAAAATAATCAATTATTCAAGTTATATTCTATTTCTGGAATATAACACACAGAACACTCAAAGTCATATATTCAAACATATTTTTCTACATTTTTCACTAAGGCAAAGAGATGTTCTATCCATTTTTATTTCAAATTGTAAAGAAAGTAGAAACTCATTTTGTCTTTCTTTGAACAGGGATAAGACAGCTATATGCTCATCACTAATAAATACTTCTGAGTGGTAAATGTGACTGGTAGTAACTATACTTCCATTATATTAATTCATTAACTATTAACACTTATTAACTGCCTACAATATGCAATATATTACATTGGATTCAGAATTGTAAATTGTCACATATAAATAAGGCCCTTCTCCAAAGAGCCATAATACAATAATGAAAATCTCCATGTAGAAATCACACACAAAGTAGAAAGTGATGAATAAATGATTGCTTATTCAATATTTAACTGGTGGTAGGAATTACTAGTGCTTGCTTTCTCTTTCTTTTTTGCATTTTCCTTTCTCATTATTTTGCCCTAAAGTAATAAAATATTAACAATGATAATGTATCTGTCAATTTCTGAGCATTTACCATGTGCCATTGTGCTTATCCCTGTTCATAGAGATGTCTCATCATCTCTACTACCTGATAAAATCTCTGTTAGCAGCGGTAACATAACTTCTTGCTTTTCTCTCATTATAATAAAAGTTCTTTTATGAATCCTAGAATCTTAGAGTATAGAGGAATAGTAAGCATCTTTTGTTGGCTATAAATAATCTCTAATGAGAGGGCATTGCCTTCACACTCCTCCCTCGGTTTTTAATCTCTCCTCTCTAAAACTTCTCCATCCTCTGCGTTAAGACCTCCATACTGCAGAAAAATCCAAGCCAAGGGCCCCTGCTGACCCCACCAGGGCCAGCCTTCCTGGAGGCAAATGCAGTGTTTGCGTCACCAGCAAACACCCACCGAGAAGGAAGAAAGAAACTAGAGAAACTATTAAAGACACTAATTGACAGAATCTAGTGAACATTCCATGTGGAGGACATGGGAATGCCTGGCATGGACCACAAGGTTGATGGAAATGCCTTTAGTCTGATAAGGAATTGAGCAGGTCTGGGAGAATGAGCTATAAACAGACATAAACGGAGATTTGGAAACGTGTGATTAGGTACATTGGTAATATCCACAGTGTATGTCCACTAGACTGTGGTACACACGAAAGGCCTGTATAGAAGGTGTAGGCTCAGCAACAATATTGGCTGCTCTGGAAAGTTCCATGGAGGCAGGAGTGCACAGGCACATGGTGACCCACGCTGACCTGGGCCCACTCACCCTGTCAGAGAACAGAGCTCGGGAGTAAATCCAGGAGGAGAGTTCCAGAAAGCTCCTGTCTCACCTAGACTCAAACTAGCCTGTGTCTTCCTGGGGTTGAGGGAACTTCCAACACCCATCCACATTCCTCCCAGAAAATAAAGTGAGGGAACACGTCAACCAAAGGTACTTACGTATCTGTGTTGAAATAGCGTAGATTTCTGTTTAGGCCATCTAGGACTTTCATGTCCTCTGCAGTCAACTGGAATTCGAAAACCTGTCACAGAGGTAGAAAATTCTTATTACTGTTAGACTGCGTAATTGCCAATCAAGAATATCCAAGGATATCAGAAAGTGTGGTGTCGAGGCAATACTTAAAATATGCGATGTTCCCAAAAGTTATGAAAGATATCAAGCCAAACACTCCAGTGGTTAATGAATATCAGGTGAAAAACAAACAGAATTCCATGTCTAGATATAATATAGTGAAACTGAGCAAGACGGCAGGCAAAGAGAAGATCTCAAAAGGTGCTGGATTGGAAACAAAGCTGACATTTTTCAAACATGTTAAAATCATAGACTTACGATATCAAGAAGAATCAAGAGGCAAGTTTTTGCAACATATAAGTTGATTTAGTAAGTTGGATGGATACAGTGGGATTTTTACATCTCATCTCTGAACACTTAATGGTGTAAAAAGCTTTTTTCAACACAATTCAAGCCAGGAATTGTCCAAACACAAATGATGTCATATTGGAAGGACACAGACACTGGCTGTAGAGGATCTCACTGTTTAAATTTGGGATACTTTAAATATCAAAAAGATGTCACTAATTGTTAAACTTTGAACTGAATGATTCATAAATCCCTAGCAATGTTCTGAAATAGTGACACAGAGAATGAGAGTGAGAAAGAATGAAAAATATCAACAATTTAACAAATGATGAATCTGGATAAGAGGCGTTCATTGCATTCTCCTTTAATCATTTCCGTACATTTGAACATTCTCAAAAGAAAAATAAAAAAGTTATCAAAAGACTATAAAAATGATCATATTTCTATGAGTAAGTCTAAGAAAATATACACAAATGCCTCAATGGAGAAAATTATGAAATGTATTGAAATAAGTTTAAAAGTAACTTAATCGGAAATTCACATCATGATGATGGATAAGAAATCTCAGTATTGTCAAGAAGTCAGTCCTCTCCAAATTCATCTACAGGTTCAGTGTAACATCAACCAAAGACCAAAACAGTTACTCTTTCATATTGGCAGCCAAGAATAGCCAAAGACTCTTAAGTAAGGAAGGATGTTTATATAATGAGGGAGTGAAAAAAAAAAGTAAGAGAAGGAGTTAGAAACAAGTTTTACCATTCTGGGCACAAGACTTACTTTCTAAGGTAAGTAAGGCAGTACACAAAGCTACATAAGCCAGTTGAGAGCCCAGAGGCCAGAGAAGTACCATGGACATTTAATGCAGGATAGAAGTGAAAAATTAAGATCTGTCAGCAAATATGGACTTTTCGATAATTTTTAGTGAAACATTTTGATACAGATATAAAACTTACATATGCATTTTTGAATCCATATTTCACGTAGTATTTAGAAAGACAATTCCAGTTGAATTAATGATCAAATTTATAAGGAAAGACTATCGACAGTTTTGTAGGATAATATAGCACAATGTTGTTGTGTTCGTGATATAGGAAAAGGCACAGCACACATTAGTCACAAAGGAAAGGCGTGAAGAATATCTACTCTATTAGGAGTAGAAACTTCTGGGCATTGAAAGAGCCTAGACGTGGAAAGGCTTTGCACGTATCCACGCCTGCCTTGGCTGGTGCTGCGTGAGCAGGTGCAGCCTGCACCAGACGGCTGGAGGATGAAGCCACACAGAGAGAGGAAATGCCCAGACCACAGCCCCGTCACTACCCTGGCATAGCGGCCTCAGCGTCCTGATAACACGAGGGAGCCCCCCCACGAACAGAGGAACCTGGCTACATGAGTACACAAGGAAATGAAAACACACACACACACAATAATTTGGAGACTAAAGATGACCTAATCCAAATCCCTCATTTCAGAAAATGCGGAGAAGGAGACGTCCCTTCCACAGGGAGACAGAGCTCAAACCCAAATCTCTGTTTTCGGTCCAGTCCTCACTCTCTCTGCCCATGCTGCCTCTGCTGCTGTGGAGTAGGAGAAAGCCCTCAGGGACACGCACACAGCGCAGTGCACAGGAAGGGCCAGGGAAAGGGACTTGGCCAAGGCTGTCTGGAGAGCCTCACACAGAAGCACCCGTGAGAAGGGCCCTGTGCAGGAGCCTGAGGCCCCAGCCCCCTCCTCACCTGTATGTTCTCTCTGATCCGCTGCTCGTTGTAGCTCTTGGCCAGGACCACAACCCCACGCTGCAGCTGGTAGCGCAGGGCGACCAGGGCTGGAGTTCGCTTGTGCTTTTTGGCCAGGGCACAAAGAACCGGATCTTCCAGGAGAACTGGGGAGCTCGGGTCCACCCTGGAAGGACAGGCAGAAATGCTGAGCTCCTCAGGCTGCGTATCGGTTTGTCAGGAACTTCCCAAACAGACTCAGGTGTCCACGCTACCCCAGTGCTTCTCAGGTGTGGTCCCCCAGCCAGGAGCACCAGCATCACCTGGGATGTTGTCAGAAATGTGCCTCTCCCCTCTCCCTGAGCCACTTGACAGTTAACACCAGGAAACTGAGTATGGCATGATTGATAATTTCTCATCAAAATGGTGTTTTAGGTAAACTCCCTGTAATTTTTATTACCAATTTTTTACTCGTTGGGTTCCCAGAGCACCATAGGCAACCAGAACAATGTCTTTCGACTTGCAGAAATCCAGCAGTTTGCTCTGGTTGAGATACGGATGACATTCTACCTGTAGATGGTCAAGATGGAAAAGCCACAGATTATATGAAATAGTAATATTAATATGAAAAAAGGTTACAATAAAAGAAGCTGAATAAAAAATCTGTGTAAAATTAAATCTGAACTGAGAATTTTAACCTCAAGTAACGATCTTTTTTAAGGAGATAAATTTTGTATTCTCATCTCCTGAAAGAGTAAATAACAATGTCGTTTCTGAGAACAAGCAACTCTATGAACCAGATTTTGTTTTTTAAACATATTTGTCCACTAGAAGGAGACATGGTCAATTTCAGATCTGGGACAAGGTAAGAAATCTTTGAGTTTGGACATCAAAGCCAGAAAAGCATTTGAGCCACAAAATAAGAATTAGAACAAAGGCTGATGATGGCATGACTGAGGGAGAAAAGTAGTTTGGTATAAATCCTACTGGGGACTTTGTGTAGATTTGAGCATGTAAAAAGAATAGTAAGTAAAATCAATTATAAATCATAGGAAGATAAACATCCATGGGTTCATAGTGATGAGAGGAAAAGAGAGAGAGAGAGAGAACAGAAATGTGTGCCTCCACTAGTAGTGACGAATACCTCTGTGGACACTGACCCTTAAACATAAGGAGTTAAGGTTTTATCTGTTCTTATTATTGCTGGAGGAATAATTCTACTTTATCCTGACTTGGTGAGAGGTTGTTTTTCACAGTAAAATGTCACGTAAGAAAATTAAAAAGAGTGGCTAAAATAGAAAATAATTTTTTAAAAACCCCAATAAATAAGAAATGCCATTAGGAATAACAATATAATACAAGAAAATAAAAATGACATCTATACACACAACCATGTGAACATTCCTTATGGAGGATGACTTTCCTGTTTATAATGGTCTCCCAGCAGATTCTCAGCAACACAAAAGGAAAAACATATGTTACAAAGAACAGATCTGGCTACCACTGGCTTAGCCAAGTGATCAAAACTGACATCACTAAAGGTGGGACAAACTGTCATTTGATGCCGTCTGCCATGGTGTGATTTGAGGGGCACAGCAAGCTAAGTACGTTCTTAACAAGAAAGTTTAACTTCATTGCAATAAAGCATTCATCTCTAACTTCTAATTTCCCAAACTGGGAATAAAGAACAAGTTTCTTGTTTCTTCTTCTGAATTGTTGTATTTTGATATCAATACTGAGAACCACAATTGAATTCTGGTTCAAAAAGAAGAGCTATAAAACATACTTTGAAAAGAACAATGAAGAACTTGAATATAACTGGATGTTGGAGGCTGTGGGGGCACGTTGTTGACTTCCTTACGTGTGATAACGGCCCTGTAACTGGGGAGAAGTCCACTCCCGTGGCATGCCTTTTGAGGTCTGTAGGAACGACTTGTCATCTCTACAGTTTACTTTGGAGAAGTTCAGCAAAGTATTACACATACGTATCCAGATACGCTCAAATATATGCCTGTATATTTAGCAATGGGAAAAAATGTCAACAGTTTTAGATATAGATGGTAACATGTGGATGTCCTATATCATTCTTTCAAATTTGCTGAATGTTTGAAAATTGTCATAATAAAAAATTGAGGTAAAACTAATAGGAAAATGACATTAATTTCTTAACTTTTGTAGTTGAAAATCATGACATGGTATCACTATATACCAAATTCACAAATTTTTAGCCGATATTTTTCAATCATGGACCCTTACTCCTTGACTCCCAAGTTGTTGAAAGTGAGTCGGAGCCCAGGAGCACGTGCAGATAGATGTGTTTACACAGGAGAGTTGATGGCAGCAGCAGAGAGGGTTTGGGGAGAAGTAGACCAGGACGTGGGTGGCACAAGGGCAGCTCCATGCTCTGCTCAACGTGCCTCCGTGTTGATTTCATCCACGATCAACAGGTATCTCCATAACAGGTAACTTCCTCCTCACCTGGATCACTTTCATAATCTCCGTTTAATTTTTAGTTTATCTATGCCCTTGTTCAAACACCCCTGAAGTAGATATAACAAGACAAAGGACTCAGGAATTTCAACTCCATTTCAACCCTTAGCACCTCTCTTCTCTAATTCTCACTCTCTCCTTATTTCCTGCTCATTCTGTGTCTTCACAGCCTTCCTATCTGTACACATTTCCCTCTAAATCACCTTCACCCATCCATCTACTCTCTGGGCATCCTCACCTGCTCCCTGAGGTCTGATTAACCATTCCAGGCCTCCTTGATCAAACTGACCTCCCCAACTTCCTTCATACAACTTGGCACTAAGGTCTTCCCAAGTTCTCACTAAGACTTTTCCAAGCAGAGATACAATTAAAGGTCCTCCATGACCTTCTACAGAGGGGCTTTGGTGCGCAGAACCTTGTGTTCCACAAAGGGAAGATGAAGAGGAGGGAATGTCGAATGGACACCTGGCAGGAGTGCAGGAAGAAGGGCAGGAAGAAGAGAAAGGAGAGGCGGCTGAGGTGCTCACCTGGTTGCAGACGGGCTTGTACTTGAGCCCTGGCTTGTTCAGGATCTTCTCCAGCTGCCTGCGGTTAAAGTTGGACACCCCGATGGACTTGGCCAATCCTGCATCCTTACACTTCTCCATGGCCTGGGGAGGAAGGGATCGTGAAGAATCATTTGTGCAGCTGGCTGCAGATCAGAGTAAAGGCAACATAGAACTGTTAAAGCAATCACTGTCCAGAAATGACATGAAGTTATCTAGCAGTGACTGTCAAGCAGAGAAAATTAAATCAGAAAATAGGGGAAGAAAATAGTGGCCACAAGAGTAAGAACTCCTGTGTCCTCCTCAGGAAACTCGAGAGGCTATTGCACATGGAGTAAAAGAGATACCTGTCTTCCTTGTCCCCATTGCTTCTCCACCATTTTTCTCTTTTTCACTCCATTCATATGTTCTTCCCCGAACACTCAGCCAAACTTCCCCTGTAAAGCTCATGAGTTTGCAGATCCAATGGTGTCTGTCCCATTGTCGCAGGTGGAAGATGGAAACCCAATTCCCCACCTCTCGCCTCTCGTCTTCCTCCTCTGTGTTCTCCCCTCAAAATACTCACCTCCAATGTGGCACAGAGATCCACCGTGTCAAATAATATTTTTCCATCTTCACCTTTTGAGAAAACCTCCTCGGTTGGCTGAATCAGAAGCAGTCATTTTAGTGATGTCACAAATTAATATCTCCACCCATAGCCATGCTCCCAGGTACATTTAAAGAGACTACTCCTCCATGGGGGAGGCAGTACACCATTCTAGAAACTGATGTTTGCGAAGTATTCTATGCATGGAGTTGTATGCCTTGTCTTTAGTGGACAGGCTTCCTCTAATCTCTAACATCTATTATATGTGTGAATAAATATCACTTTCTCAGGTCCTGGTGAGATCTCCTAACAGCTGGCTTATGTTACTTTTGTCCTCCCCTATACATTCCTATGGGAAATGCCTCTTTCATTTAGAAAGACCTTCACATACAGCACACCTGGCTTGCAATCTCAGTCCAGGCAAGATGCTCAGCGTTCCTTGTCTGCCTAAAGGTGTCATGGTCCACGGACAGGACCGTGAACCAAACATGGTCAATGGAAGTTCTTTTTAAGATTAATTTGGATGTGGGAGGACCCAGAGAGGCTCTCGTGTGTTAGTGACTATGGGCCTTAAAGTGCCTCAAAGCGCCTCAAAGCCATAATAACCAGGGCTGGTAAAGGTGGCACATGAAATCTAGCAAACTTGTTGGAATACACAGATAAGGATGGAGAAAAGCATACGTTTCTGAAGTCTATTTCCATTCCTGCAATGTAGCCATGGCTTGGACTTCTCATTTACATCATCCAATAAACTTTTTTGCTTAAAATAGCTTGGGTAGTACAGTACACAATATAGTAATTAAGGCCTTAGCACAGCTACAAAACTCCACTGTGAAGGAAGAGCCCGCAGTGGAAGCAGCTTTCTCACGTCCCCATGCATGTTTGTAGTTTGAGACCCACCCGGCGAGTTCCTCCAGATCTGCTTGAGCATGAAATGGGGAGAGATGACGGAAACTCATGGTGCATCACGTGTGCAGCTGTTTGGTGGCGCACCATGGCTGCGTGAAGTCTGTGTCTGTGACCATCCCAACAGATGGACTGAGCAGCCATAACTGGGACAGTGCCTTGAACGTGACTACTGGTAATTCCTCAAGGCTTTGAATAGAGGTTTTGGGTTGCTGTACTGTCTTCTCTTGTTGGCATGCAGTAGAGAAATCAGAGTTCAAACTTAATTCAATATAATGGGAATCAGGAGTTATACTTAGGGTTCTTCTCCCATGTAGTAATCCCTACATCCTCCTAAGAAAAAACTTAATTCAGCCATTCTTGCTAACAATGGTTATGATAACAGCAAAGTGAAAGAAGTTTGATCACACAGGTGGCCTACCTTTAAAGACACTGGAAAATGAATAAGGTACAGGTCAACATAGTCCAACTGGAGTTTTTTCAGGGACCTTTCCAAGGCTGGCTGGACCAACTCTGGTCGATGGAAAGTGGACCAAAGCTACACAGGTTAAAGAACAAAAATTCTGTTGAATAAATGCTTTAGCTAATTTTATTAATTTGCTTCACTTAATATGTAGACATTTTCTTTCTGCTTCCAAACTGTTGATCACTGGCAAAAAAAATATTCCCTTCCTTCTTGTGTTTCCTTTTGATCTGAACTATCCATATGAACTCTATTATATGTTGGATATATAGTTAGGACACCTACTGAATGAGGGAAGTAAATTACTCAAAGGATAAAAAATATTATCAAGTAATAATCATTCCTGTTATCTCTATTATGTTTGATAGAACTTACAGAGAATTTTGATAGTCTAATTCTCTCATCCATTCAACCCGATGGGCAAGAATTATTATTTCCATTGTTCAGAAACTGAAGGAAGAAAGGATTATAACATTCTAACACGTGCTGGACAAAGCTGAAGAAGTTCCAGCTATCCATTGTTTAATACTCACAACCTGTCTTGTATTACTCTCTCTGTCTCTGATAAATGTGGCAATTGAGATTCAGAATAGTAAGAAATGTTACAAATCACAAGGAGATAAGGAAAGCTATAA